CAAGAGTTGGATGCTTAACTGACTGAGCCACCCAGGTGCCCCACGCTTTTTTGTTTTTGTTTGTTTGTTTTTCTTTTTTTAAAAAGTAATCTCTACACCCAACATGGGGCTTGAACTCATGACCTGGAGAGCAAGAGTCACATGCTGTTCCGACTTGAGCTAGCCAAACACCCCCTCCTTTTTCTTAGAAAATTAATTGTTATTAAACATGAGAACTAATGCTTTTCTCTGCCTGTTTGAGAAACAAACCCGTGACGTTGATGTTATTAGTTTCCCATTCTACCCAACTGAACTAACCAGCCCCCCAGCCCCCACCAGACCCTTCTTATAAGTAGTCTCTTGATTACATTGGTCCCCCTGGATAATCCCAGGTCATTTCCTCATCTCAAAATCCCAAATTTAGGGGCGCCTGGGTGGCTCATTTGGTTAAGTGGCCAACTTCAGCTCAGGTCATGATCTCATGGTTCGTGTGTTCGAGCCCCGCATCGGGCTCTGTGCTGACAGCTCAGAGCCTGGAGCCTGCTTCGGATTCTGTGTCTTGCTCTCTCTCTGCCCCTCCCCTGCTCACGCTCTGTCTCTCTCTCAAAAATAAATAAAACATTAAAAAATTTTTTTAAAAAAATCCCAAATGTAATCATTTCTGCAAAGTCCCATTTATCCTACTGAGGTAACATAATCACAGGTTCTGTGGGATTAGGGCGTAGACACCTTTGGGGGACCACTGTCCAGCCTAGCACAGTCGCGAGGGATGCCCTTCCTTGCCCCTGCTAAAATATCATTCTGAGCTCCTCCTCCCAGGTTTGGCAGTGAGGTCTCTCAGTTGGCCAGAACATTCCCCGTAATGTCCCTGTTTCCTGTTACAACAAAGTCCTCAAGGTCACTTGGTACCCACTGGGAGTCACTTCTAGGTGTCCCGGGGTCTTGCTGTGTCTTCAGGGGCCATTTACAGCACCTGCTGGCTGTCCCTTCTCATAGTCCCAGGTTCTTGCTCTAATGATCCTGCCTCTATGCCCTCTAGAACCCCTGGGGCCCACTATAAAGAATAGAAATATATTCTTTCTATAAAGAATAGTGTCCCCAGGGGCCCACTATAAAGAATAGAAAGTCCAAGGCAGGACCAGTTACTTAATTTGCGGGGCCCGGGGCAAATGAAAATGAGGGGCCCCTTGTTCCAAATTCAAAGACAGCTCAAGCAGAGCATTGAACCCAGTGTGGGTCCCTTCTGAACGATTGCTTCAATCGCGTGGGGAGCTCATCCAGGAGACCTCCTTGGCCCTGGGGCCTGTGTCTGCCCCTGCACCGTGGTGCCCCCTACTGACCCCAAGGGACAATCACACATGAGTTCAAAACCAAATGCTGCCTGTTCCAGGTTGGCCTCTCTGAGCCTCCGTTTCTTTATAAAATGGGAACAATTGTGCCAGCCTCAGAGAGGCTTCAGCGAATCAAGAGTTTGGCATGGGGCACATGGTAGGGCATATGTTCCTAACACTTGTTCCCCCTTTTTTGTTTAAAAAAATTTTTTTTATTTATTGAGAGAGAGAGAGAGAGCGGGGGGGGGGGGGGGGGAGAGAGAGGGAGAGAGAGAATCCCAGGCAGGCTCTGGGCTGTCAGCGTAGAGCCCAATGGGGGGCTCTAGCTCACGAACTGTGATATCATGACCTGAGCTGAAACCAAGAGTCAGACGCTTAACTGAGCCACCCAGGTGCCCCACTTGTTCCCCTTAATGTACCCCGCCACCCCACTCCCAGTTGCTCTTAAGGTCCCAGGGATCTCAGACACCAGGCTCAGGATTTGT